GGCAGACTCTGAGGCGACATGGTGGGGGAGGAGGAGGAGGAGGAGGAGGAGGAGGAGGAGGAGGAGGAGGAGGAGGAAAGAGGAGGAGGAGGAACGAGGAGGAGGAAGGGAGGAGGGAGGAGGAAGGAAGAGGAGGAGGAGGAAGAGGAGAGGGAGTCCCGAGGAGGAGGAGGAGGAGGAGGAGGAAGGAGAAGGAGGAACGCTGCCCGTCCAGCGAGGGGAAGGTCCAGCGGCCCCAGGGGCCCTGGGAGAGCCCCCCACGGGCCCCCCCCCCCGAGAGACTGGGAAGTCGTCCCAAGACCTGATGGGACACAGTCTGGCCCCCCCTACAGGCGGACTTTGATCGAACAGAGAAACATACCCCCCAAATATTGGAAACAAATAAAACACATACAGAAAAGCCTTGGGAGAGCTCCCCACAGGACCCCCCCCCGGAGAGACTGGACAGTCGTCCCAAGACCTGATGGGGCACAGTCTGGCCCCCCCTACAGGCGGACTTTGAACGAACAATAAAACGTACCCCCAAAATATTGGAAACAAGAAAGGCACATGCAGAAAAGATCGTCCCCAGACTCTTTTTTGGGGGTTCCTTTCTCTTTGTTTGAGCATTCCTTCTGTAGAGGGACAGGCCCGACTGAACCCCCAGCCCCAGCCGTGGCGCCAGCCTCGGCCTCGGCCCCGGCCCTGGCCGTGGCCCCAGCCCCAACAGAGCCCAAGAGGCTCCCAAGAGAGCCGCAAGAAAGGCTCCAGAGCGTCAGCGTCGTCGTCGTCGCCGCTGCCGCCGCCGCCGCCGCCGCCGTCGTCGCCGGGTCGGCGACAACGGCCGCTAGGCCTTCCCAATCGTCCCAAAACCTGATGGGGCACAATCTGGTTTGCCCAATCGCCATTTCGCTTCCGAGGGGTCTCCGAGGCATCAAGATGGGCCCCAAGAGGGCCCTACGAGAGCGCCACAAGGAGTCCACGACGGCCCCCAATGATCACCAGGGACCGCCCCCAGAAAGAGTCCCAAGAGGGCCCCAAGAGGCAATTGTCTGCCTCCGGGGGTGGGAGGAGGCTCAAAGCTTCGCCCACGGGGCCAAACATCTTCCCAATTCCCCCTAAAAAGAATCTCACCCCACGACCCTCAAAAAACTTGCCCCACAGGGGCCCCAACATGGCCCCGAGATAGCCCCAGGGTACCCCAAGAAGGACCATGTGGCTCCAAGAGTCTTCCAAGAGGCTCTCACATCACAGCAGAAGATCAGCGAAAGCCATCTCCTCCTCTTCCTTCTCGCTCCTACTCCTCTTGCCTGCTCCCTCCCTTCCTCCTCGACCCCCAAGCGGGCCCAACAGATGGCCCTGAGATGCCCTCCAGGCCCCCCCCTCGCCCTCGCTCCACTCCTACCGATCAATCGATTCATCCTCTCGCTCATCTTTGCTGTATGTGTCTATTCCTCCTTTTGCCCGTCAGCTATCATGGGCATCGTTTCTGGACGGGCTGGTGGGGACACTTTTTTGGTCGCAAGCGCACCGGGAGACGCCGGACGCCGTCCAAGCTGGTGGGGACACGCGAAGCGTTAAGGCTTGGCTGTTGGGCGTTGCGTAGGAGGACGTAGAACATTATTTGGAGCAGAGGTCCCCATATGTGCAAATCATGCTCCGCTGCATTCCTCTGTTAGTGTTCGGGCGTGGGTCGGAGCCTGACTCAGACTGGGTGATTGTTAGTCCGAATGTGAGCTTTGCTGTCTGTTGATGCCTACCGTCATCTGGTGACATGTGCCGCTCACTGCTGTGCTGTGCTGCCCTCTGAATTTATCTCTGCAAATGGTCGCTTCGTGATTTGCCGGCCTCAGAATCCTATACCCTGTTCCTCCGCCGCCTCATCCTCAATCCAATCGGCACCCCTTTGGTATGCGCAAGCGGAGCGCCTCCTGCACCGCGGTAGTGATGAGTCTCTGAAAAGAACCTCGTCTACTGGGCCAAGGCAAGCGTTGCGCCTGAGAGGTCCCCGCAATCAGGGCGCGAATTGACAAGTGAAAACATCGTTGTCGAGCCCCCGCCTTCTCCACTTGAGGCCCGCGTGCCATTCCTGCTACGTCGCAGTCATCATGGGGTTCTGGGAAGAGACTCGTCGACTGGGCCCAAACAAGCTTTTTGCCTGATGCATCTCCCAAACCAGGGCGCAAACGGCCTGTGACGCAGTCCTGGCCGACCCCCCCATGAGAGACTTACGTGACGTGCCTGCCATATCGCGGTGATCATGGGGTGCAGAGCGGATTGGATTTGACCGAATCTGAGTATTAGCGATTGGTTGTGAGTGGGTATGAGTGCGAACGAGTAAATCTCAGAGCGAGTGAGTCTGAGCGCTAGCGGATCTGGGTATGAGTGTAATTAGACATGGTTCTGAGCGTGAGGATTCTGGACGATTGAGGCTGAGTGCGAATGGATATATTTCTGAATAAGGAAGGGTCGGAGCATGAGCGAGTCCAGGTATGAGCTACTTGAGTCTCGCACTCAGGGTATGGAGCCTCGTGCTCAGGATCTGAGGGAGCATCTCCATTAAAATGCAGCCGCCGCGCGCGGTCGCCGTGACAGCGTGACAGGGCAACTCAGACAGAGACTGCAAAAAGCGAAACGGCCGCGTGGGTACAACAATCGGGGCCACCCACCCGTGGACCGTGCCTGGGCGAGCGGGCGAGAAGGGCGCGGGGGTGGACACCCCGGGCCTCGACGGAAGAGGCGCTGGCGCAACCGGCCCGCGAACACCTTCTGAGTCCGCCCGACCTCCGAGTGGGCGGCCGGACGGGCCCGGCTCCAGCTGGGCCGCAGGAAGGAGGAAGGAGAAATGAGGAGGAGGAAAAGGATGAGGACCAAGACCCATCAACGATATTGCACTAGACCCTCCCTCCAAGTTCCTTCCCTCCTCACAGGCCCCTACGAGGACCATCTTCACTGAGAGAAGTGCCTTGTTAGAGACGGCCGATTCAAAATCATGAACTATGCCAGAACCCCATTCCTGGGACTTCGACGCCGCGAATCACCGTCACTGTTGCGTCTTAGCGAACCTGCCTCGTGCCAGAACACAATTTCTGGGACTTCAACACCACGAATCAACGTAACTGTCGCGCCCTGACAATCCGACATCGTGTGAAAGCATCATGTCCGGGATGCTAGCCATGACAATATTGAAACTCTTGTAGAACGAATGTGTGCGGCGCTAAGGCGAGAATCACATTTTGGAAAGGGACTGCCCCCTGTCCGTTAAACGGTTGCAGACTTTTAACACGAATGTGCGCGGTGCTAAAACGAGAACCACATTTTGAAAACGGCCCGCCCTCCATCCGTGAAGCTGTTGCAAATTTTGAGTTTCAGGATCATCATACGTTGTGAGGAAGCCTCAGGCGAAACGTCCGGCCCGCCCTTTCGAGCGCGCTCGGGGTGCGACAGGGAAGAGTGACCCACACGGAGAAGGACTGGAGGAGGAGAAGGAGCAGGTGGAGGAGGAGCGGCAGGAGGAGCAAGAGGAGGAGGAGGAGGAGGAGGAGGAGGAGGAGGAGGAGGAGGAAGAGGAGGAGGAGGAGGAGGAGGAGGAGGAGGAGGAGGAGGAGGAGCAGGACGAGCAGCAGGAGGAGCAGGAGGAGGACGAGGGGGGGGAAGGGGAGAGGGGCGGCAGCGACGAGGAGGGAGTCGGACCAGCCGCTGCCCAGATCCTCTGAGCAGCGGGCGGAGGAGGGGGAGCGGCAGAGGCCTCCTCCTCCTCCTCCTCCTCCACAATTACACAATATGAAAATACTCTCCCACTTCCCCTGATGGCGTCCCGAAGATATCCAACACCCCCCCGCGTACTGTTTTTTTACACGCAAGATTCCCGGGAAACGGGTTTCCGCTTGCGTTTTTTTTCAAAATGCTGCTCTCGCTGAGGCGCCGGCATCATTTCTGCTCCCGAATCGTTCCGAATCGTGCTCCCGCTGCAGCGTGGGCCTCATTTTCGGATCGGTGTTTGGCCTCCGTCGTTCAGGATGGCGTTCTCGCCCCCGCGCGGGCCTCTTTCTCGCGCGCCCATCCGCCCGCCACCACCGCGCCGCACCACCAGCACCAGCACCAGCACCAGCACCAGCACCAGCACCAGCACCAGCACCAGCACCAGCACCAGCACCACCACAACCACGCACACACGCACGCACGCACGCGCACCACCACCCACTACGCACGCGCGCGCGGAGCCACAGGTCCGCTACGACACGCGTCCGCGGATAGAGAAAATGAACGCCATGGTAAGGGATGGGAGGGAGGGGTAGGACGTCAGATATGACGCGAGCGCACCTAGCTTGTCCCCACCCAGCTTGCGCGTAAGAAATCCGCTGGTCGTGTCGGCGTGTGCGAGGGGTTTCTCCGTGCCAGAGCACGGTAACCCCAGCACGACATGTGTTAGAGCCAGGGTGGCTCCGAATACTGCTCGCGCGTCCTCCGAACCATCATGGTCATCCTGCTCCTGATCGGCCTGAGCCCTGATCACGTTGTCGTCGTCGCATTCGTCGTCGTTGTTGTGGTCATCGTCCTCCGCCACGTCATTCTCTTTCTCGCTGTTTCCCCTGTCCTCCACCTCTGACTCATCCTACGTACTCCTTCTCGACGCCGTCCGTTCCCCCTCCAGCTCATAGTTGTTCGCCTCCCTGTTTCTCCTTTTTTCTTCCTTGTTTGCCATGGATGCTGCCATTCCTCCCGCTTCTCCTCCCCGCTCCCCGTTGTCCTACAGGTTCTCCCCCTCGCCTTCCTATCATTCCTCTCGCTGGATACAGCCTCAACATCTACGCAAGCACGGCACTCCCGCCAGAGACTGCAATACGCGTGCTTCTGGGAGTCCTGCGCTCGCCCCGGCGCCAGCGACATTACCGCTCCCGGAACACATCTCGACACTACAGGCCGCGATCAGATTCGTCGTGTTGCGCCCGTCCCCGCCTCCCTCCTCCCTCCCGACTCTTCCATTTCTCTCCGCTCCTTCCCCGTCCTGCCTTCCTCTTCCCGCCGCCCTCCTCCTAGCCTTCCTCCAACTCTCGTCGCTCATCGCCATGCTCTCGTTCGCGCACGCCGGGTGAAACGATTCACCCGCCGAAAGAGAAAGATTCATCCCCGAGCTCTCGGGGGAGACCACGCGCTCGGTTCCCCAAGCCTTCAGGGGAAAGCAGGGTCCCCGAGCGTCACAGCGCGAGTGTCCTCACCAAGGGCAAGGCGGCGCACGGTGCTGCAGGCGAGGGAACTCCTCTCGAGGGAGCTCCTTTCGAGGGAACCCCTTTCGAGGGAGCTCCTTCGAGGGAGCTCCTTTCGAGGGAATCCCCTCCCCACTCATACCGCGCGCAGAAAAATGCGCTGCGATCCCCTTCCTACCAGCCCCCAGACCCGCTGTCGCTCCAGAAGATCTCATGGTCCACGTGAAACCACCCCGAAACGATCCCAAAACAAACATTGGCATGTGGCGCCCGATGACGAGCGGCTCTGAGATCCCGCTCGGGTTCAAAAGTGGACAGTTCAATTCACACGAGGGGCGCGCAGCTAGAGTGAGCTCGAACAAACTGCTGGTATAATGCGCGAGCCAACGTTGTGCTGCATCAGCGGGCGGAGAGATACGAAGACACGGCACGATGGGGCAAAAACACACAACAACAGAGGATGATCTGTCTAGCGTGGACCCCAAAGCAGTGGTTCTTGAACCCTCGATGTGTACTCTTCTACGGGGTCCAATCGACTTCGACTACATCCGCGCGTGACCACGTCCCATGCCCGTGTAAACAGTCCACCCGCCCACCCGCAACCTGTTGGCAATATCAACTAAGTGACGACGACGATGTTGATGCTGATGATGATGATGATGCTATGAAATGACGACGGTGAGAACGATGACGACGGCAATGACGGTGGCAACGATGACGCTGGCAATGATGATGACGACGGCAGTGGTGATGACGACGACGATGGTGAGGATGACGATGGCAATGCTGACGCTGGTGATTCTGATGACCATTGCGCGGATGAGGGTGGTGAGACGCTGCGCGCAAAGTCTTTCAGGAAATGTGTAAGGGAGAGAGAGAGAGAGAGAGAGAGAGAAAGAGAGAGAGAAGCCATGCGCGTCAGAAGTGCGTTGGCAAACATAATGAAACGAGCTCTGCTGCCGGAGGCGAGGCTGCGAAACATGAGGACGCGGAGGAAGAGGAGGAGGAGGAGGAGGAGGAGGAGGAGGAGGAGGAGGAGGAGGAGGAGGGGGAGGGCGAGGAGGAAACAGCAGCGGCAGACTCACTCTGATGTCCCAGTCCATGTGAGTGGCTCCGTCACCACCCCGTAAGCAACGCGCTGCATGCGACCGTGGTGAACAATAGCGCCCTGCGACTCCGCGCCAGTCGCCGGGTCTTTGCCGCCATAGCTCCTGCACGTCGTCTCGGCCACCAGTCGATGCGCAAGCCGAGTCAAACACATTGCGCTTCCATGAATTTATCGGCCTGCCTCGCCTCCGAAGTCCGAAAAGGGCGGGCAAGGACGAATGACCCCGGCTCGAATACCGTTCTCCGTAAGACATTGTCGTCCGGGAGACACGCGATCTTCCCCATCAGTTCGAGTTGCTTGCAGGCTAATGTGGAAGTCAGGCGTTTCCTGCCGCACGTATCCACTGCGGCTGCGTTAGACACCCGGCTGAGATAGGAGTGCGGGATGCCGGCGTTTTTTCGCAAGCGTCTAGCTTGGAAGGCGCCCATCCGCGACCTCTCTGCCTGGTTCAACCAGAAGGCATGCAGACAGTGCATCAGCTTGGATATGACACAGGCTTCAAACATCATGACCTTCTTGGACAAACATATCTTCGTATGTCTCTAAAGTCTGCACAATGTATCGAAGTCTTTTCGCGCCCTGCCAATGCGTCGGTTGAGTTCCGCTCTGCTCCCACCGTCTGCGTAAGAGTATCCCTCCCAAATGCACCATGTTATCCTTCTGGGTGATCGGTTGGCCGTCAGTGCGAAAGAGCTCTGTGTGGTAACGAACTGGCATTACCTCTAGCGTGCCCCGGCTGAAACATAAACCGTAATGTGTGCCGGCCTCTCTGATGGCCCCCAAGAGATATCGGACGTGCTCCTCTGTCACACCCGCAATCAAAATATCGTCTGCGTAGATTGACCCGCAATCAAAATATCGGCAGCCGGCTATCTCGATGAATGCCCCTGCTGCGCATGCTGCGCGTCACGTCAAACATCAGCAGGGTCATCACGATCGAGAAGAGGAAAGATGACAACGGGCATCCTTGGGAGATCCCGAACGCCTGCGGCCTTGAATCAGACGCGGACCCCGCGACGCGCGCGCAGAAGCTCCGGTTGGCGCATGTGGCCTTGACCGCCGATGCGAGCTTCTGTGGCGCGCCGAAGCGGGCGAGCGCCTGCGCCAGGCCATCGGGGGACGCGCTGTCGACTGCCTTAGCCCAATCGAGCGCAAGGGGAATCAGTCTGCCTGACTCGGAGCCCCACGTGTCCTCGATCAAGCACCTGGCGATGAATGGGGCGAATGCTGTTCCCCGACAAGAACGGAAGCCGAATTGAATAATCCAAACGCGGTCTTCTTTGCATAATCCGAAGAATCGTCGTTCTTGAGAATGGCGGAAACAAGCGCCTCGCGCCAGATATCGGGCACCTCGGCTTCCAGCCAACATCGGTTGCATAATAGGACGGCCCGCTGGCGAGCTGGCGCCCCGGCCGCGCGTGCTGCCCTCGAGAACTCGGCTGGCATGCCGTCCTTGCCCGCGGCCCGCTACCGCTTCAGAACTCGCGCGGCTTCGCGTGCTTCCTGCTCTTTAATCGGCCCCAGTTCTGTCGGGGGTGCGCCCCCTCCAGTGGCTCGGGGTTGTCGACGGCCGCGGTGGGCCTCACCGCCTGCTGCGCGGTTTCGAAATATTATGCCAGGCTCTCAAGTCGCTGTCTACAAGGCGCCCTCGTGAATCCTTCATTCTGCCGCGTGCAGACGTCGAGCCCTTGCGCAGCTTGCGAACTTCGCCCCAATCCCCGGTCTGGAGTCGATCGTCCAGACAAATGCTCTTGTCGCTCCTGATGGAAACCTGTTATCCTGCCATTCGGAATCTTCTCGCGTGCCAGATGGCCCCCAGCCCGAGCCTTAACCCTGGCTGCGATCAGCTCCAGCGTGGCATCGCTGATCGATGGGCGTCTGGGGGCCTGCCCGTTCTGGGGCAGGCACGCAGCAGCGGAGGCTGAGAAGGCGTTGACTATGCTCCTGTTCAGCTCGTCGAGCGTCTGCCCGGCCCCCCAGCGCTCTGCTGCCGCGAAGTCCGCGAAGGCGTTGTTGAAGTCTCGCTGGAGCGGTGCTTGGGAGAGCGCCTGCACATCTACTTTCTGTTTGCTCGACTTCGAAGCGTCGTCGATGTCGAGCTGGGCGCAGCTCAACAACAAGGAATGGTGTGTGGCGAGAGCTATGCCTTTGTTGCTCCGGACGTCTGTCACGCGCTCCAGGCGCACACCAGAGCATAATAAGAAATCTATCTGGCCAGCTCCGGGACTGCTGGGCTGGGCGGCTGCGAACCGACATTGTAGCATGTGACCTGCTGCTCTGGAGGATGGTTGAAGAAGGCGTTCGCGATCGCGAGGTCGTGGGCGCCGCAGAGCTCGAGCAACAGCGCCCGGTTGGAAGTCGAGTTACGCTGCGCGGCCGGGTTGCCGAATATGCACTCCCAGGTGAGCGGGCTCCCCCGCAAAACGCCTGTGCAACCTCGCGTTGAAATCGCCTAACACGACAGCTCGTTCCCGGACAGAAACACCAGACAGTTCGTCTCCAAGTTCAGTGTAAAAGTCCCGCCTTGTGTCCAAGGATTTGCCATTATGAGGGGCGTGCGCACTGAAACTAGGAATCTTCCCACCATGGACACGCAACTTGATGAATACACTTCTGGCAGACACCATCGGGGAGCCAACGATACTCTTCCGGATTTCTGGCGCGATCAGGAACGCAACGCCAGCGGTCTCCTGATCGTCTTAATTGCCCGATTGGATCAATAGGAAGCCTTTGTCTGTAATGTCGCACACAGAATCCTACTTGTGAGTCTCTTGCAATGCGAAAATATCAATACCAAGCTCCTGCATGTGAACCCGGAGTTCCTCTACCTTTGCCTCGGTGAGCCCCTCCACGCTCCGGGAACCCAGAATCACCTCCCTCCCGCAAGGGCGCACATTCCCACCTCGAAAGCCAGGGTCCCCGCCGCCATTGCTCCCAGCACGTGCGTATGTACGCGTCAATAAAGAATTCGATGGTGAAGCTCTCGGTGAGACTGCGCCGGACGGCTCCTGCAGGCCCTATTCCGGGCCGCCGCCTTTGCCGTGGCCTTTGGAGGTTCCTATCGCTCCTCCTTTCATGCCCTCGGCGGCTTTCGCGGCAAGCTAGTCGCACTTGTTCGTGAAGTCCCTCACCTCATGGCTGCTGTGGAGCTCCTCCCAAGTGACCCATTCCCCATGCCATTTGCGAGCGACCTTGTCTGGGAAAGTGTGAGCAGTCACAGCCGACCCCCCCGACCCAAACAGAGTAAGGGGCGTCGTCGTTCACGGACACTGTGTATGGGATGTCCCAGACCTTCTTGAAGACGTGCTTGAGGCCAAAACAATAATTCCGAGCTGCCCTCTCCATGATTGGGCGGTCTTGGTTGGCCCAAATGTTTTTGTCTCCAGACTTCACCCCTGCCTTCCTCAATATTTCTTTTGCCGCATCCCGCTGGCCAGGATTCTGGAACTCCGCGAACAGCAACCCGCCGAAGCCGCCTTTCGAATCAATCTTGGCTGGGGGTGGACCCTGGAGCGACGATAGTTTGTCGTGAAACCACGCGCTGGCCGCCTCCGGCGAGTCGAGCGAATCGAGATTACCGACCACTGCTGTAATGTTCCGCTTGTCGGTCCCTCCTCCTCCCCTCATGCCATTGCTACTTGAATCCTTCACGGTGGTCGTGTGAAGGACGCTGCCCTTCTCGGAGATCTGCTTGACAAGGTTCTCGAGCTTCTCGATCTGGACTTCGGTGATGTCGATGCGCCTCTCCACGTTGCCCAGGCGGACGTCCACCGAGTCCGCGAGGGAGGACATGCGCAAGTCAAGGTTCCCGGAGCCTGTCTGGAGGTCCTGAATCGCCTTCGTCATGGGGGCCATCTCTTTCTGGAGGAGATCCGCGATACCCGCCATGGTAAACTGTCCCCTTCCCCCGCAGCTGTCCTCCACCACCCCGTCGAAATTCAGCTGTTCGACCCGTCCTGGAATCAACTCCTCCTCCTCACCCTGGTCATCCTCCATCTTCTGATCGCCATCCTTCGGGAGTAAAGGTGAGAGAGGGGAATCTGAATACTTGGTGCGGGGTTTCTTCATGAACGGGGTGTTCAACAGCTTGCCAATGGGAGTACCGGGTGCGCGAGACGGTACAATGGCGGCAACATCCGACGCCGAACCGGGCTGCGGAGAAGACATGGCGGGCTGTGAGAAGTAGTATGGTATATATAGAATGGTAGATTGTCCAGTAAGCACGAGCGGGGTCTCAATCCCGGAAAGAGCCTCCAAAACGGCTCAGGAAATGTGACACATGCGAATTGAATATCGACCCGCATGTCTCCCATGTCCTATGTGTGGATTTTTGTTCTCAGTTGGGCGCCTCCTTCTC